TAGAGGTGTCAGAGGAAGAATATTCAGGGGAACCACATTATAACCTGGAAATCTGTAACCCTCCCCTCTCCCGCCTTTATTGATCATGCCGCACTGTTTAATAATAACGAACACAGATACACTGCAATGCACAATACAAATATAAAAAAATGATCCTAGGGGTAACTTTAATAGACTGTTGTGTGTATTACCATAGATCGTAAAACAGAAGAGGGAACTATAAAGTGTATTCAATGAGACAATAAATACGATTATTATTATTATAGCACATGTTAGTTTAACCTGCCAGTTCCGGTTTCCTATTTTATTTATTTTTATCTACTGTATTCTGCTTTAACTGCGTGCAACAGACATTTTGTACTATTGTTACATTCCGGTAATTTCAAATGTGTTGGTCTCCTGCAATTAAATTCAACAAGCTCTAAGGAATCGGTTGCTTGATTGGATCATCTATCCTCTTTTGGTGACTTTATTGGCACCCGTGAAAAGCTATGCAGTCTGTGACTGATTGACTCGAGAGCCAGATTGGGAGACGTGGGCTAGTGCAAAAAAAGACATGATTCAAAATTGGACAGCAGGCAATCAATTCTGCCCTCAGCAGTCACTACATTTTCTGTGAATATTATTATTAATATTTATAAAGCGCCAACAAATTCCGCGGCAATGGATGGTCTAACAAACAAGTATTTGTAACCAGACGAGTTGGACGCACAGGAACAGAAGGGGTTAAGGGCCCTGACTCAAACAAGCTTAGATTCTAGAGGGAGTGGGTATATCTGACTGACTGTCTGTCTATCTAATCTCAATAATATTAAATAATGAATAATATCAGTCCCATCCACAAGGAATGAGTCATTTTGGTCATTGACATATCTAAGCGTTTTATGTTGCTGTGTATGCAGGTTTAAACTAACCATTGGATGTCTCTGGTATGTGTTGTGTGCCAAAGGGCACTAGATTAGTGAAGCTCTTTTAGTTTTTGAGAATGACTGTCAACAACTTTTTTTTGCTCCTGTATGTATATTTTATGTCTCCAATCTATTGTAGTCAGTGCTTTCTCTTCCTACTACATTGTGCTGCGTGTTGACACTTTATAAAGGTATGCACCATTCTCTAGATTATCAAGAGATCACCCATAAATGTTAGTGGGTGAACTCACACTACACTATCTAGTGATCAGAGATGGTTACATGTCATCAAAGACAAATGTCAATGACTGCGAGGAAAGCTTGTGAGTGTGTTAAAACAAAGAATATCTGGGCACGTGTTTTTTTTCTTATGTGTGCAGAAAGAGAAATATTGTACTTTGCATCATTCTAGAATACTGCAGAAAGTTGTTTTTGTTCATCATCTTTTACTTGTGAGGCTCATTTTCGGCACGTATTGACTCACTGAGAAAAGTGAGGATGCTCTTGGGTACCAGATGCTATGGAGGCGGTTTCCATAGCAACTATTTCTTAGTGCGTCTAGAGTAGACAATAGATATATTTCAGGACAGAGTCTGGTGCTATAGATAATCACATATCATGTTTGGTAGTAAACTGTGGAAGATTAACTATCTGATCACACCGCTGTCTTCTGAGAGGTGCCAGGCCTCGGGTACTATAAACTCTGTAATTATATTAATATTAAGTTAAATTTTGCAGCTAATGTGCCAATCATAGGTAAAGGTATAGAATATGGAGCCTCCTGGGCATTTTTGTGGCACTGTGGATACTGGGCACAGTGTATTTTACATTCTGTAAAAATAATGCCTCTTATCCCAATCAATCATGAACACAATCAGGCCTAAAGATAACCTACCTCCTGAAGTTATTCTGTTTAGGGTGTCATTGTCTTTGTACACATCTTTTCACCTAGACGTACAAACACCCAGAAGTGTTGTTAAACAATGGTATTTCCAAGATAATAGCACTCCACCAAATCCTTTTGAAATCATTTTGTCATATTTACAATGCGAATTTTAATTAAGCTTTCCTTTTGCACCCAAATATTCCCTTCCTTCAAGGGTGTTACCAGGATGCATCCTGTTTATAAAGACACTGTGCTGTGTTAACCATTAAGGATCTGGTTAGAGAGATTATTTCCAATTCTCAGTTAATTTTAATCAGGTTTTGTAAATGTATCTCTGTTACCGTGTTTCCCCGAAAATAAACCCTACCCCGAAAATAAGCCCTAGTCGGATTTTCGGGGTGGGCTGCAATATAAGCCCTACCCCGAAAATAAGACCTAGGCATTGTACCTTTGCGGCGAGACTTCCTTCTTCTACTGTAGGAGGAGCGTTGCGGGCCGCGGCATCGCGCAACGTGATGACGACATTTCGCAGCGCCGTCAGTCTGCCTTCACGGATCTTCAGCGGAAGGATCCATTTCCGGGCGGTGAGGCTCCCAGTGGTCGGACTCGGCAAGGAATCTTTGAAATGTGAGTACCGGTAGATATTTTATGTCTGGGACTGAATTAATTAAAGGGGGCGGGGGGTGAATTAATTAAAGGGGGGTGAATTAAAGGGTGGGCTGGATTAATTAGAGGGGGTGAATTAATTAAAGGGGTGAATTAATTAAAGGGTGGGCTGGATTAATTAGAGGGGGGTGAATTAATTAAAGGGTGGGCTGGATTAATTAGAGGGGTGAATTAAAGGGTGGACTGGATTAATTAGAGGGGGTGAATTAATTAAAGGGGGGTGAATTAATTAAAGGGTGGACTGGATTAATTAGAGGGGGTGAATTAATTAAAGGGGTGGTGAATTAATTAAAGGGTGGGCTGGATTAATTAGAGGGGGTGAATTAATTAAAGGGGTGGTGAATTAATTAAAGGGTGGGCTGGATTAATTAGAGGGGGGGGGATTAATTA